CCCCCCCTCAAAATAATGCTTCTGCTGCAATGAAAACCACTTAGACCACTGGATGTGTTTCTTACTATTTTTATTTCACTTGTCCGGTAGAAAACGCTTATTACTCGTGTTCTAATAGACAGAAAATATTACAAAAGCCAGATCATTTAAAAAAACCACCTAACATTTACCAAGTATAGACAAAATAAAAATGACGGGAAAATATTGTGCAATAATACACGTTACATGTACACAAACAAGCATAATAAAATTCAGCGCCCAACAGCTAGTGTAGCAGATATGAACTGTTGAACTTGTCAAAATCAGATTCTGTTTTCACAAATGTTTAGAATTGAAAGAATTTGTCCATATCGTTTCGTTTCTTTCTTTTGCTTGAATTTTAAAACTTCCGGCAAGAACGTAAAACACACAAATAACATTTCTTTCGTATATTTGTTTGCTTAGTTTTTTTCTTTTTCTTTATTTTGTCATGTTCATCACGTACAATACAGTTTTATATACTTGTTGAGAATACGATAGATTTTGCTCATGCGATACGATTTTGACCTCACCATCATAACCCATGACGTCAAAGCTCGTAAAAATTATCCGGATTTAGATCCGTTCTGCGGTTGATATTGCGCCTAAAAACCAAATCAAGTATAGTCTCGTTCAACCAGACGCTTGATCACTTGTCTCTGTTCGGAGTAGCTTGCGCAGACAACAAACGTCTGGTTGAACGAGACTAAATCAAGTATGTCGTCTGCTTTTTAAGTAATAAATAAATGCAAACATATAAAAGTGTATTGCCTGGTGACACATGAGTCATATATTCTACCACAAAATTATCGAAGAGAAGTGCTGCGACTTGAACGTAACAGTTGTGTCTCGCGAAAGAAAATTTCCGCTGTGAAACGTCTCTGCAGTAGGTATCGGCGACCTGTCAATATTTCCCCGAATGCTCGTCTGAAGCGTCTATTGCATGTTATATAAATGATGAAATTAAACAGTTGACCAGAGGCAGTAATGGTTACCGTGTAATGTGTGTAAATCATCCACGATGACGTCAGTAAGAATGAACAAAACCCTAATTCAAGGCAAACAAACGTAGCGCTGACGTAAAACAAGATGGGCACTTCGCAAACGATAAAAATAAAGACCACCCAAATGGTGATCACCGAGAGATTTCGGGATGATTTGTGCACAGAGAGTGATGACGCGGTCCTCAAGGAGTTGGACCTTTTTAATGTTTTAAGAATGGCCGGTTCGATACAAATTAGAATAACTAGAGGGAGAAGTATAAAGAGAATCGGATGTAGGTACCATAACGTGAAGTTTGACACTTCGATACTACAAGCCTGTACTGTTACGTTTGTAAGATAGAACGAACTAGTTTCGTTAGCATAGTACGTATGTGAATAAATTTGAAATGTAAGATACACACCTGAACAAAGAACAGAAAATAGGATGAATATCAACGTATGCTTTTTAGAGCATATCAGTTTAGCTCGAAACGGATACACGACGCATATATACCGTTCAATAGCCAGTCCAACGGTTAAATAAGTCGAAGAGTAATGAAAAAACACTGGTAAAAAATTATACAAGAATGTATAGAGTTCACATATTCTATAAGGGAGATAATCACGGTGGTCTTCGAAATAAAACACATAGACGTCGATAACCCCGAACGAAAAGGAACCGAGCATATCACACAAACAGATACTAAGCAGTAACATGTGGGTGGGGTTTCTCAATTTAATTTTCCAGAAAACTGCAATGGTCAAAGAATTGCAGATGAAGACAAAGCCTGCTAAAATCGGCATTATGTATTTGTGTAGGGTTATGACGTAGGGATCGTTCGTTTGAAAAAGTATTGGAAAGAGGCTGTTTATTTGAATTGAGTCTGCTTCTATCATTGTATTATTTACAATATCGTTAGCTGATCTGTTCATTTTGGGTTTTCGGACTTAAATTCTGCGAATCTGTTATGGTTTTGGTATTGGTGTACTTTTTTATAATCAAAATATTGCTGACGTTTTCGTGTTATGGGACCTCCTGAATTTAGAATGTGTTGGTCACGCCGACTCTTACAACTTTGCTATGATATGTTAAATATTTATGGTACGGATTTACTAATTGTTGTAGAATAGTTATTTATGTTCGACTATTCACCTTTAAGAACGAACTCTGATTGGTATTTGGAGAACTGACGTCGTGACATTGATCGCGTTGTCAATTACAGATTTTAAATGTTTGAATATTCCTGGGTTTAAGTAATTCCTTCATTCGGTCCAAACGCTGATATACAGTTGAAGTTGTTATATTGAACAGGAATTTGCAATAAGACTCTCCTTGCAAATAAGAGAAGTATAAGCGTTTTACTGCATCACGTCAAATCAATCCATAATTGTCTTGTTGGTGGGCGTGGCCGCTATCAATATTGATGTGGTAGCATTGAAGGAAACCCGTCGTTCCGTAAACTTCTTAATGACGTCACTCTATTGTTGGAATTAATCGATCTGCAAAATAAATTATTTTTTGATTAGTATTTATCTTCTTTTTTTTTGCAGCAGAAAAAAACCTGTTTTCGTTTAGGGATACCAAAAACTGTAACGAAGTGTTGGAAACTATTTAATCCGGCATGACTATAATTTGATAAATCATTTCTGAAAAGAAAACCATACCTTACAGGACTTTTATGAGAAATGATAAAGATGACATAAACATAATATAATCAACATTTATAAGTGTTTTTATTTTAAAAAATCAGCGGTGCTAGACTGGGATTCGACCTTATTTTATAAACGAGCAACTCTTGTCCGACCGGTTCAACCATTTGGATCGCGATAAACGAAAGCAGCCTATTACATGTAGCGTCGAACAACATGAAGTAGCTTAAGGATGCATGCCCCACTGCACGCTGTTTTTTCCTATATGCAGTTACCGCCCCTTAACTTCCGTTTTGATATAACTGTAGCACAATTGGGTCAGGACACTTCCGTTGGTTGACCAGGTAGCTTAATCGGTTAGAGCAATGCTACATAAATCTAAATCTGAAGTGAAGTATTCGATACCCGGCCTAACCCCTCTGATTGTTTTACACACAGATTGTTTTTACAATCAAAACACTGTTGTTGATTATATTTTTCTCATAAACGTCCCGCAAGTCATGGTTTTCTTTTCAGAAAAGATTTATCAAGGTTATAGTCATGCCGGAAAAAAATAAGTTTTTTTGAATCAGTTAATTACAGTTTTTGACAGTGGTACGGGGATCCTTAAGATATCTAATCATTAACATGTTAGGTACTGTTAGCCATAAATAGACTGACCATATTGACTTAGTGTACAGAAACAAAAGCATTGCTATACCAAAGTCTGCAACGCACTCTGCAGTTTGAAAACATATGAACGCATTCACAAGCAATTAATTATCTTTCCTTTTCCTTAAGCTTACCTGTAAGATAGCGTCGTCGTGTCCAAAGAATAATGCAACAGAATATGAGCTCAGCCTCACACGTGGAACCTTAATTTGACATCACGAATCCCATGTATGTCGCGCTAAAAAAAAAGGATATTTTTGTGTATGTTATATAAACTTTGGTAACATTCCACATACTCGTCATGTAAAGAAAATAACTTTCTTATATCAACAGAATATAAGACAGTGACATGCATGTTCGTTACAGTTTTGTTTGTTGTATCTATATATGAGAATAAGACACTAAAGTAGTATTCAATGACTTAATCAGGAACGCTTTGCGTTTAGAAACATATCTCCTGGTTGATTAAGCATAAAATTTATTATACCCGAAGCTGCACCTCGATCAAGTCATAACATCATTACCAGTGACTATAAAGATATGTAAACGCATCTCAGATATACCGCCATTAAAATATGAAAAAATAAATCTCAAAAGGTATAAATGACAAAACAGTTTTAGTGAGAGAAAAAAAATATGTATTCTGAAAATTATCCAATTATAAGCATACGTCTTTGTCCACAGGAAAACATGTAATTTAGTATTTAAGCAAGCAAAGTATTTTTTTAGCCTGACGTCTTACTTTTGATGCAATTTCAGTTGATTCATTAAAATTCATTTCTGAAAAATTGACTCTGATGTGGGAATTTGTACTAGTTTCGTTCAACCAGACTCTTTTTGTCTGCGCAAGCTACGCCGAACAAGTGATCAGACGTCTGGTTGAACGAGACTTTAGTATTTCTACCCGCTATTTCTTCAACATCTTTGTATAAAAATAAGAAATCGTTTTATATAAATCTATTTTTTGTTAATGTTATTACTCAAAGTTTGTAATTTGCATATAGAAATATATATATACATCAATATGTAGTTGTACTCACGTGTAGACGATATTTCCATTCGGGTTCGTTGTCATGGCGTCCTGAAATTGTGGAACTCTAAAACTCTTTCCCTCTTCAGTTGTTGTAGATTCAGTTACTTTCAGAAAGAAATCAACATAGATTGCTGAACAAGACTAAATAAAAATGATCTGTTCTTTTTAAGTAGAAACGAAAACTGTGTCAATGTAAATATTAATCTACGTCGTAGAGTAACGCTTTCCAGTGTTTCGGGGTCTGCGAAATCAAAGAGTGACAATAGTCTGTGTTTAGGTTTGGTATATATGCCCGTACATTATAAATTATGAATTTCAGGACAATTGAAACGTTATACTCTGTTTCAGCCCATACACAGAGGTAATACGTCACTTTGGAGACAACAGGAATTCAGCACAACTCGAAATTGGTACAATGCTCACCTGTATACATAGCGGTATATCTTTATGAATAATCGATTCTGTCATTTTCTATCATATAATGTTAAATGGCTAATCAACTTTGATCACGTGAGCCTTTGATAGGATTTCATTCAAATCATCCTATGGCCATACTAATTATTTCACGTGTCAATAACTTTACTATATTGCGCATCGTTTAACGGAAATGTAAAATGGTTTCATTCGAAACGCAGAGATTATTCCACAGACAATACAGAACAATATACAAATCGCAAGAATATTTGACATCTGAATAAAGAGAATGCAACAAAATTATAATGTATTTCTATCAAATCAACTTAATACTGCTTTAGAGACACGCCTTTTACACTCCCATACACTTGAATGTTGATATTGGACAAATAGAAGTTTCTGACGAGATTATAATGAATTCATCGTTACATTCAACGCTGACCACGTGACCTCCTCCGTCCTCCCTCATCTAATGTCTCACGATTATATTGATTTGACCAAGGCAAAGCATTGTCACCACCGTGAAATATTTGTTTAAGTCCTTTTCAAAAGAAACATTCCATAAAAATCACATGTTGCACTGCATTTTACAGAGTAATTGTTCTCAACTCATTATGGTTGCTTCTGATGTAGTGAAACACTTTACCTAAAACGAGATAAAAGTGTTTTTCAAATTGGCACTTACAGGCCTCCGTAGATTCTCCTTTTAACAGGACGCGGAATTGAATTCAATCAGCCGTAGCCGAAGAAAGAAAACATTTCATGGTGAGTTGTTTTGTATAGGCTGTAGGTAATCACAATATGTTAAGGTTTTATTTATACACTCTGACACACGTTAGATTGTCTATTTCAATGAATTATAAATACTTCATGTTTGAGTGGGAACAATGTCGAACTATTGAGAGGATTACGCGTTGATTATTTTATATACAGAGAAAAATATTGAAACATCGAAATGGCGTGGGATTTAAGAGGAAAAGGAGATCACATCTACGTAAGACATATTTCCAGACATACTAAGTTTTTTTGTTGTTGTAAACTGAGCAGAACTGTAATTGATGCTACGGTTAAGATTGGCGTGATCGATTTTTCCACGTCAAGAGCTTTCCGCCCTTCTAGTATACTTAAATATATCATTATTAGATTGTTTTTTTTCTCGAGAGTTTATCTAATCCTCTGAAACCGCTTATATAACTCTCTATACATCCACATAGGTCCAGACATATCGGGAGGCCGGTTGGCGCAGTAGATATAGCCCACTTGCCTTTCACGAAGGCGGCCGGGGATCGATTCCCCGATCGGTTCGGACGTGAGAAAGTATGGGGCTACCTGGCCGAACACGTGAGTTTTCTCCGGGAACCACGGTTTCCTCACACATAAAGGCCATCCGCGCACGTACATCCCGGCCAACAACAGAGATTAATTTAAGCTGAATGAACTTGTTTCATAATTGTTGTTATATAAACATATCTGCTGTAACAAAAAGTCAAAGCGGTCCATTTACTGAGGCTAAATTATAATATTAACAATGAAGAGGGGTTTTCCATATTCACGTGTCATGGCAA